TAAATCTGTTGCTTGCAGAGGCCTCAGAGCTCTGGGTGTGCCGTGTCGAGTCCTCACCATTTAAGCTCTTCCTACATACAGGACATGTGTCATGCTGAAAAAAAGAAAGATAGTAGTCCTGTGAACAGTCTGGCCTAAGGAATTGGAGTTAATGAGCTTACTGAGACCTGACATTTGACACATCAAAACTTATATCTTGGCAAGCAAAGAAGAACCTGTATACTAGGCACTGACATGGGATATCAGGGTATCACCAGTTAGAACTTTAAGTTTTAGGTCAATAACTTAATAATATTTAACAGATATCACTAAACAGAACTAACAGAAATAGTCACCAAGATAGAACAAGAGGGTAACTGTCTACCACCTCGTCTAGAGTAGAAGTCAGCACACATTTTCTGCAAAAGAATGAATCATAAACACTTTTTTGGGGTAAATTATAAACATTTTAGGTTTTGTGGGTCAAACCATCGCTGTCATAATTATGCCAATGTAGTATAAAAAGAGCCACAGGCAATAAGTAAATGAGTGAGCACAACTGTGTTACAATCATGCAATTACAACTGGACAGTGCAAATGGTTTGTACTTGGCTTATTAACCAACAACCTGGCAGTACAAATCTCCCCAGTTGAGGCCTAGGCTTGCTGCTCTTCTTCTATAGAATTACAGCTAAGAAAATCCTACAAAACTCAAGTTTATTCTGTAACACATGGGGTCACCATGAGTTGGAATCAACTTGATGGCAACAAATTTGGTGTGGTGTATGTTCCAATAAAACAAATAAAGACAACAGATTTTGGCTGTCAGGCAGTTTAACACCCCACAGCAAAGAGATAAAGAAGATTCAAACAGATGGTAGTTTTAAAAAAATAGCTATGTTAGTACTGAGTTAGTGAAAGTTTATGGGACTAAAACTGAGCTACTTGACTCTCCATGACTTATTATCTGTTCATTTACTCTCAATCATTCCCTCAGAAGTGACTAGTATAGACGCCCCCATTACAGAGGACAGCTGACTACTCACCAGTTCTAACCACGGCACGATACAACTGCTATGGAAGAAGTGGTTGCAGGGTAACTGCCTCACTGCCTCTTGCACTGTGTAATCTTCTTTGCACACTGGACACTCTAAACCCTTATCTGTTGGAACACAAAATGCTTTTTAAAGTAAATGGGATGGGGGTGAGAATAAGTGGGATGGAGGGGGAAACAAAACAACAAAAAAAACAAACCCCCCCCCCCAAAAGCCCAATGTCTTTAAGTAGCTGAATGAATACACAAAGACAAGAGAATGAAAATGAAAGAAACATTGCAACCAAGTAAAAGATAAAATGCATGCTATTTTATTTCACAATGGGGATGAAGGAGAAGGTGGTCATAGACAGGAGTCAAGAATGGAGGAGCACTGAATGAGGCCTATATAGAAACATTTGTCAATTTCAAAAGTTGAAAGAAATAAACTGGAGCTTAGATTATTTTTTAAGTAAACGAAGAAGCATTTCCCCAAATATTGCCAAAGCTTTCTGGCAGTTAGTTTCAATTCGGAAAATGCCAGCAGCCTGTTAACTATGACCAAGGTACTCATCCCAGCAATCTCAGGAGTTGCCACTCAAGTGTCTCAAGCCATTTTTATCCTACTCTTGTCCACATTACGCATCTTCTCTCAGTACAGCTGCCCTATCTACACTAAAGTTGTTGATTAAAAGCTATAAAGAGATGGTGTAGAATTTATAACGCTTAGGTTACAAGTCTAGAAACAAGAACTTTTTTTGAGGGAAAATGGCTTCATGCTATACTTGGAGTATCAAGTGGAAGTTGAGTTTCTCAGGTTCAACTATTATGATCTGCTAGTCTATCTTCCTACTTGTTAGAGTAGTTTCCTCCACCACAGAGCACATCATGTAATTTGGTTCACTCCTTCCTCTCCATTCCTCCTACTCTCATCTTAACTCTAGCCTTACTTCTCATGTCTAACCCCCTGTCAGAGCTGCCTATGTCTTCTCCCTGACTTCCAGGCATTCATTCCTTCTAATAAAGTCTTTCTTTTGCCACCAATTTCCCTTATGCAAATTTTATCACTATCTGTAGTTATCTTAAAATCAATAAATTAAAAATTAAAAACATTTTATCACCTCCCTAGCCAAACCAGGGCCTACTCAAAACTCACCCATGAACTGGCGTACTTTTAACTCTCACTCACTCCCAATCTAATTTACATTCTGCCTCCAGATGAACTATTTCTAAAAACCAGTTAAAATCCCTCATTCCTCCACTTGAGAACCTAACAAAATTTCCTTACTACCGAAAATATCTATGTCTAATTTCTCTGCCATTTTTTCGGTTCTCTATAACACAGTTTAACACTTCTTCCTATACCTTATACCTCCCACCCCAACGCCTCAGCAGCCCAAATTTGTTGCCACACATGATTGATTCATGGCAGCCCTATAGGACGCAGGATACTTGCACTGTAGGATTCTCAAGTCACAGCTGACCATCCATTAATTTTTCAGAAGCTGTAGACTGGATGAAAAGACGCTGCTCCTGTGGACACCTGGTGGATTCGAACTAGAGACACGCCACCTGTGGGCTGGTTGTGCAACTCCCTATAGTCTACACCACCAGAGCTCCCTATGTTGGTCCATATTTTCCCTTAAACCAAATTAATTCTCCTAAGGCAGTCTATGTCTTTAAATTTTTTTCTGACTCAACCTAAATTTGTAGAGAAGAAATAGTTCAAAGTAATGTCCCTTACCACTTCAGTGCTTATAAATGAGAGACTGTCTGATGGACCTCAAGTATGCCAGACACATAACCATGCAAGAAATTTACAATCTCTGATTTTTTCCCCTTTCCCTTTATCCCAAAGTCAGTATCACTTTCTCAATACCATTTCTTTTTTTAAATCATGTGTGTGTGTGTGTGTGTGTGTGTGTGTGTGTACACTATCAAATCAGATCTGACTGGTACAGGAGGAGATTGTCCCTCCTTCCCCAGGAGCGCATCTGGTGGATTCGAACTGTGCACCTCTGGGATTGCAGTGCTGCTTCTTGCCACTAGGCCACCAGAGCTCGCCTCAGTAACATTTCTTAAACTGCTGTCTACTTATTTGTTAAATTTTTCTTCTTCTAATTAACTCCACATACATCTTTGTACTCTTTATTTCCCATGGCAACAGGCACTATTTTCGACATTTGGCAACCAGGACTTACAGGGTATAGCTTCACCTGAAGATCTTTAGTACAGGAAGTTGGAGGGACTTGAATAGAGACCAGAAGTTAACAGAAGATGAGAGAGGAAATATGAAATTAACCTACCAACTTGTTCCTGAGTTACTGTCACTGTTGGAAGAGATGTGATCTTTTCCTTGTCAGCTGGAGGAGGCCCTGTGTTTTCCAGTTGTCCTAAAAGCTACCAATAAAGAGGAAGTTGATGATAATGATGATAAAGACAATGAAGTTGCAAATATCTAAATCACATTATTCCTGCCAAGAATAAACAGTGCAGAAATTAGATATGTTCTTACTTATGCAAGGCTTTGAAAGGTTTGGGCTTTCCCTCTCCTGCTGCCATAATAATTATCATTTGCTCTACAATTTCATGATCACACCAGTATACACATACAGAGAGCACCATCATTGTAAGGCCCATTTTCGGACATAAAGCCACTTCAATGGTAGCAGCAAAGGATTTGTAATGTCATAAACAAAACTATAGTTTAATAAAAAGTGTCATTTAAACTATATTTTAGTTTAAACTATATTTTTATTAAACTATAGTTTAATAAAAAGTTCAAAAACTCTATTGGCAAGAAGGATGGGAGTATAGAAAACAGCAAGCTGTTGTTGGTGCTAGGAGCTGAGTCAATCCTAACCCTATAGTGACCCCAAGAACAACAGGACAGAACAAAAGCCTGACATGCACCACCCTCACAATCATCGCCGTGCATGAGCCCACTGTTGCAGTCACTGTGTCAATCCAACCCACTGGGGTCGTCTTCTTTTTCAATAACTTTCTATTAAGCATGATATTCTTCTATAGGCACTGGTCCCTCATGGTGAAATGTCCCAAGCACGGGAGGTAAAAATCTCACCATTTAAAAAAAAATTTAAAAATCTCACCATTCATGCCTTTTTTTTTTTACCATTCATGCTTTTAAAGAGCATTCTTGTTGTATTTCTTTCAAGACAAATTTGCTTATTTTTCTAACAATTTACAGTAAATTTGGTATTCTTTGCAAGTACCATAATTTAAAAGCATCAACTCTTCTTTGTTCATTACTTAGCTTTTACAGGTATATAAGGTGAGAGAAAATATCATGGCTTAAAGGTCTAAAAAACCACTCAAACTCACTGATAAGTCAGTTCTAACTCACAGTGACCCTCCTTCCACTGGCTTCCCAATGCTATGAATGGCAGTGGGTGGAGACAACCTACCTTTCTCCTCTGCAGCTGTTAGTGGATTAGAACCATCAGAGATGCAGCCTTTGGGTTAGCAGTGCAAATCTCTCTCTGGTTTATGCTGCCAGAGCTCCCTATGGTTTGTATCAGGCGTTACTCAGACCTTAAAGTGACTAAGGTATACCCCCAAAATAGATAAACAACTTTTCATTCTCAAACCCACAGAGAAATGAAAAATCAAGCGAGTTAAAATAAACAACTAAGTAGACGTGATTATACATGATAGAGGAGTCCTTGTTCTCTCGGCTTCCTTCCCTTTTCTTTGCTTTCTTCCCCTATTTTGCTCTATGTAGAAGAAATGCCTGTTTCAACATGTGTAGATCTTCCTTTTTATGGTCTTTAATAAGATCTTCACAAGACTCAAGAAGCCAAAAATATAATACATAGTTTGCCAAATAAATTGTCTCTTCCTGAGGATGAAACCATCTTCTAGAAAGCCTCTAGCACCAAGAAGGTACCTGTATACTGAGCTAAACTCCCAAACCACTTATCCCTGTAGTGAAAGGAAACTGCAAGCTCAAACTACTAAAGAAAGCCAAGTGACTGACATTTAAGAAAGTAGAAAAAGCAAAATATCTGTGACCTAGAACACACTGAACAGACAAAAGGCAGTTCCTCACCTGGGTTACAATTGCATCGAGCTCTGTCTGACCCCATGCATAATCTTCAGGGTTGGAGTGCAGCATCCCGTACCTATATACACGACAGACAACAGTACAAAGAGTAACCAGGCTCAGCTTTCCACCACAGAAAAGCCGGCAGAGGGATTCTGCCCTTGGTCAAAGCTGCCAGTCCCTAGTTCTCTAGAAGCAAGTGGCAAAAATGTCTCTATATTTAGAAACTCAAATAAATTATCCAGAAATAATCTCTATTTTTCTCAGACTTCTTACTTTATTGAATGGCACATAAAAAATGCAGTAACTGCACATAAAACACAAAGTAATTCAAAGTATTGTCTTTTCTGTTTCTACTTAACATTAATCCTCGATAGAACTACTTTTTATGGAGTTTCCCCTTTACGATTAGCCAAAATCTACAGAAGACGTCCTTCATTTAAAGAGACTGCCTACGGTCCTGGACAATGAGGCACTTTCAGGTAGAGAAGTAGCTAAAAAACAATCTCTCTGAAGCATAACTCAGTCTAACTACAAAAGGGATTTAACAGTGCATCTCTATGGAGCTGCTGGGGCACTATCCTGGATGACAGATATCCAGATTCATTGGCTGGAATACGTTTTCAGAAATTAAAGGTTGGAAATAGGTTAAGTGTGTGGAAAAAATAAACTTGCCTCTTAGTAAAAAAAAGTATTCTGGGTAGAGTCAGCAGCAGTCAGTTATTGTCCAGATAAAAAGAAAATCCCATAAAGAATGCCTGCCACACATAAATGTCATCTGAATACTGACTTATGTATTTTCCCCCAACCTCCTTCCAAACCTCTTTGCTTTGAGAAAGGAAAAATAGGTACAGCTTAGTGGTAAGGAATTGTGCTGCAAATCCAAAGGCACATATATCTCACTATCTAGTATGTTGTTGTTATGTGCCACCGAGTCGCGACCCTATGTACAGCATCTCTGAACCCTGTTCTGTCCTGAGCCAGTCTCTGACACACTAACTCGAATTGCCTTTTACTGTATCAATCCATCTCATCCCGGGTCTTCCTCTCCTGTGATGTCCCTCCAGCATTCCAAGCATTTTGTCCTTCTCCAAGGACTGGTCTCTCCTGGCCATATGTACAAAGCACATGATATGAAGTTTCAAAATCCCAGCCTCCAAGGAGAAACTGGTTTCACCCTCTCCAAGACAGATCTATTTGTTTTCTTGGCAGTCCATGGGATGTTCAAAACTTTTCTCCAGCACCACAAGTTGAAGGCACTGATTCTTTTTTCCATCATCCTTAGTCTTTGTCCAGCTTTCTGAAGCGTAACAAGTAATTGAAAAGACCATGGTCTGGTTTAGGCACAACTTTAAGACTCTAGACTGACACTGTTGCTCTTCAGCACTCTGGAAAGGTCTCTGACAGCAGATTTTCCCAATGCAATTCATCTTTTAATTTTCTGACTGCTGGTGCCTAGAGTGTTGATTGTGGATCCAAGCAAGCTTTAATTGTTAACAATCTCAATCTCTTCTCTATCTATCATGGTGCTGCCAATTGGCCCAGTGATGACAATCTTTGTCTTCTTGATGTTGAGTTTCAATCCATAAGTAGACTAGTCCTTGACTTTCTGCAGCAAGCACTTCAGGTCTTCCTCAGTTTCGCCAAGCAAGGTTGTATCATCTGCATAATGTAGGTTATTGATGAATCTTCCTCCAATCCTGATGCCACATTTCTCCTCATAATACCCTGCTTCCCGAATGATCTCTTCTGCATATAGATTGAAAAGGTATGAAGACAGGATGCATCCCTAACACACACTTTCCCAGATTTGGGACAATGCAGTGTTTCCCTGCTCTGTTTGGAGGACTGCTTCTTGGTCCAAGTATAGGTTGCACATAAGCACAATCAAGTGCTCTGGGATTCCCATTTTTCTCAAGGTTAGCTACAATTTGTTATGATCCACAAAATAAAATACTTTTGCATATCAGTGAAACACTGACAGACATTCCTCTGGTACTATTTGCTTTCTTCCAAGATTATTCATCTGACACTGGCAATCATGTCTCTAGTGCCACAACCTCTTCTAAACCCAGCTTGTATTTCTGGTAGTTCTCTGCCAATGTACTGTTCCAGTCATTTCTGGATAATCTTCAGCAGGATTTTGCTAGTGTGTGATATTAGTGATATTATTCTATAATTTCCACATTCTGTCCGGTCACCTTTTTTTTGGAATGGGAATAAATATGGATCTCTTCAAGTCAGTTGGCCAAGTAGTTTGTCCTCCAGATTTCTAGGTACAACTTGGTGAGAACATGCAGGGCAGCATCTGTTTGCTGAAATACATCAACTGGTATTCCATTAATTCCTAGGGCTTTATTCTTTGCCAAGTCCTTCAGAGCAGCTTGAACTTCCTCCTTCATTACCACTGCCATTTGATCATGTGTTGTTTCTTGAAATTCTTCAGTCAATTCTTTTTGGTACAATGACTCTGTATACTCCTTTTATCTTCTTTTATTGCTTCCTGAATCACTCAATATTCTGCCCATAACATAAGCATTGCAACTCGTTGTTCTTTAGTTCCTTCAGCTTAAGAAATGCTGAGCGAGTTTGGCCCTTTTGATTTTCTGACTTCAGCTCCTCGCACATTTCATTATATAATACTCTGTCTTGGCTTCTCGAGCTGCCCTTTGAAATCTTCTATTCAGCTCCTTAACTTCTTGATTTTTTTTCCTTTGGTTTGGCTTCTTGGCACTTAAGTGCAATACTCATAATCTCTTCGACACCCACTTTGTTCTTTTCTTCTTCCTTCTTTGTAATGATTTTCACAGCTCATCTGTTCTTTGTTCATTAGTGTTCAAGGCCTCAAACTTATTACTGAGTTGGATTTTAAATTCACGAGGGATAGACTCAAGATCAAATTTTTATTCCTATGGATATGATTTCACCTTCTTTAGCTTTAATTTGAACTTGCATTGAGCAGTTGATGGTCTGTTCCAATCAGCACCTGGTCTAGTTTTCACTGCTGATATTGAACTTCTCCAATGATTCCTTCCACAGATGTAATTGATCTGATTCCTGTGCATACATACACAGGTGAAATGCATTTGCATAACCTGTGTTTATGTTTCTTATAAAAGGTATTTGCTATGACTAGAATATTGATTGTACAGAATTCTATCATTCTATGCCCAGTCTCATTTCTGTCACCAAGTCCCTATTTTCCGACCACTGATCCTTCTTCCCGGTTTCCAACCTCTGTATTCCAGTCACCCATTATTATTAATGCATCTTGGTTATATGTTTGATTGATTTCTGACTGCAACAGTTGGTAGAAATCATCTATTTCCTCCTCTTTGGCTCTGGTTGTATAAATTTGAATGATACTGGAATTAACAGGTCTTCCTTGTATGTGTATGGATATTATCCTGTCACTCACAATATTGTACTTCAAGATGGACCTAGAAACAGCCTTTTGAACTATGAAAGCGACTCCATTTTCCCCAATCTTTTCATCTCCAGCATAGTAGAGCATATGGTCGTCTGATTCAAAATGCTCCATGCCAATCCATCTCATTTTGCTAATAGCTAATATGTCAATATTTATGTGTTCCATTTCTTCCTTAGCAATATCTAGTTTTCCTATATTCATGTTTCTCACATTCCACATACCAATCATTAGTTTCTTCTTACAACTGTTTCTCCTCCTTTGTGTTTCCAAATTTGAGGGTTCAGCCTCAGCTTCCATATCTGTTAGTCTACTCTATGTGTGTTCAGCTGTACATAGGGTTTTCAAAAGCCTGCTATATTTTGGAAGTGAATGGCCAATCCTTCTTCCTAGTATGTCTTAATTTGGATGCTTGGTTTTAGAACAATATCTGACATACATACATTTTACCAAGCTGATGAAATAACCAATATAGACACTGTCCCCCCAATCCAAGCATGTGTGACTATCTCTTCCCCTTCCCTGCTACATCACCATTCCTTAAACTCCCACCTACCTGATTAAACCCTCCTTTCCCCAGCCACCTCTTGATATGATAGCTTAGTCCATAGATAATAAACAAAACAAAACAAAAAAACCCATGTAACTATTATTCAACTATTTTCACATTAACAATGCTATAACTAAAGTCAAGGTCCTTGACAGGATCTCTACCCTGCAGATACTTTGTATATGTGGAAAGAAAGCACAGATTGCTTTTATTTCATGAATTAGGAGGGAAGAGGGGTTACAGTCTCTCAGAGCTGCTGGATTGATAAGTAGAGCAAACAGTCAGGGCAAGGTGGGGCAAGAAGCAGCAAGATCTTAGTGCCCACAGGAGGCTGAGGCTAGAGAAGGAGGAGTCAGTATACTCTCTTTGGGGGTAAAGAAAAGTGGGGCCCTAGTGCCTACCTACAGTACCCAAGTTCAAGGGATAGGCAGGGGCATTGTAGGAGAGCCCTGAGATGAGGAACTTGATGAGTACACAAGGCCTAAGAAACATTCATCCACTGATTGACATCGGTGTAGTTCCTTGTAACTTTCTTGAGGTAACCTCCTGGGCAGGCTAAGTAATGGCAAAGTAGGCTGAGGAGGAGTGGGGTCACAATTCAAGGTCAAAGGCAGAAGCCTATGACCTCAACAAAATCATCAAATGTGTTTTAGGTTGTTAAGAAGATGAAATGGAATGGGACCTTTCAACCTGGAAGTACAGTGTGACAGGAGAGGGAGGGGACTAAAAGGATGGACCAGGCGTGTCACCTGGGCCACTTTTGGCTCTAGAAGACAGGGTGGCCCTCTGCTATATGGACAGAACTCTCCCAAGGTGATGTGGAGGAGAAGGGTGGCAGTGGCAGCTGTTCTCAGGAGAGACCCAGCAAGACATCAGAAGTACAGATGAAGGGGTAAGTAATGTGATGTGGCCAATTTCCATTTTCATATAACCAGTTTTTGCACAATGATTTCATCTCCGGAACTGAATTTTGATGATAAGTGAGCAGTGGGTGTAATTTATTTTTAACTTCAGACATTTCAAACAGTACAATCTTTTCATATAATGTAGAGGAAAAACACGCAAAGCAGGTAACAAGCCCAGCAGGGATCGTCTCATTCCTCACCTCAATATAACCCTTATACACAAAAACACAAACAGAAGCAGACATAACCGGTCCCCTTGGGGGGGAGTAGGGGGACAGAGTAGGCAGCCGGAAGGATGGTTTTGAGCCTGAACAACAACAAAAAGTCTGATTAACAAGTTTAGGTCATAAGGTCATAGCTGTAAAGGAGCCTTAACAACCTATCAGGCACAACTACATTTTCACCTCTTGTAGCTCTTCTTATCTGGGAAGCAAAGAGAAACTATAGCATCTAAATGATGTTAGCACAGCAAAGTGAGAGCTAAAACAACTGACTACTTACCAGGACAATGAGTGTGGAGATCTAGGAATTGCAGGATTTGCAAAGAATCCTGCAAAAATCTGTTGTATTATTCTGTAGGAGGGAAAAAGAAAATTAAATAAGACAGCAGGTAAATTAAACTATTCCACAGAAATCTAAAGCTAGCTAACCAATCACCAATTCTATTCTGAAAACACAATGGTTTTCAACTGGCAACTATAGCATCAATACTACAGCATCAGAATCAGTAGGCTGTCTGGTGGTACACTATATGCTTTTTATTTTCTTAAGCTTTGCTATTTTACAGAGTAACAAATTTTTGTGAATTAGGTTGGAGAAAGGTCTGATGGTATCGTGTACTTTTCAAATTCATGTGTCTTGGATCCTTAATACCATTATGAAGAGAGGCTGAAAGAGATACTGAGCCAGTCAAGTTCTAAGCCCACCTCTTTAATAAGAGTTGTGGCAATGCTGTGTGATTTATACAATGCATTTCTGCATATCACGAAAAGTAGTCCTTTTTTTTAAGGTTGAAGGTAATTTTCTTTTCCACAATTGGCAGCACCATGATAGATGGAGAAGAGACTGATATTGTTCACAATTTCAGCTTCCTCGGCTCTACAACTGACACTCTTGACACCAGCAGTTAAGAAATCAAAAGACAGATTGTATACTAGGGAAATTTGTTGTCAGGGACCTCTCCAGAGTGCTAAAGAGCAACGATGTCAGTCTGGAGACCAAGGTGCACTTGACTGAGGCCAATCTTCACAATTACTCACCACGCATCAGAGAGCTAGACCAAAGATGAAAGAAGAATTTATGTCTTTGATTTGTGAAGCTGGAGAAGAGTACTGAACATACTATGGACTGCCAAGAGAAGGTAAAACCAGGCTGCTCCTTGGAGGCAAGGTTTTGAAGCTTCATCTCACATACTTTGGGCACACGGCCAAGAAGGACAAGCCCCTGGCGAAGGGCATCATGCTTGGAAGGGTAAAAGGACAGCACAGGAGAGGAAGCTACCAGATGAGATGGAATGACAGTTACTGAGATAATGGGGACAGGTATATCAGAGACAGTGAGACTGGCTCAGGAGAGGGCAGAGTTCAGAGCTACTATATGAGGCTCAGGTGATTCGATGGTGCATAACAACAACTACTGGTCTTGTGTAATAATGAACTGGGTAATAGCTCAGGCTGCTACATGAAAAGTTCATCAAATCTACTATCTGTTTTGTAGGGAAAAAATGTTTTACAGCAACGGATAACGAATTAAAATTCTGATTCCTGGAAATAAATACTGCCATAACAAAACAAGAAACCCAAATTAAAATGTAAGACTAGAACTCAACAGTGAGCAGAAGTTGAAGGATTGTTGAGAAGAGTATTAGTAAATGTTAGTAAAGTCTGGACGTCCTCAATTAAAGAGAAGAGACAGCCTTTGAGAAAATTGCAGTTAGGCATTACAGAGAATCCTTGTTCTATAGCAACAAAAACACTGCCACCTGCCATAACGGATGACTGAGAAATGACATTTCCAGATGAAAATGCAAAAAGTAATTAGGACTGAATAAACTCGGAAAATCCCTAGTCTTTTCAGATGGTAAATAAAACTAAAATGAAGAAAATAGCTTCTGAGCAAAGATCAAATGCAGGGCACAAAAACAATGCTTTAAGGTGGAGCCAAGAACTCTTCCTAAAGCTTTAGAAAGATCAGAAATGGAATCTCAAGGAATCATAGTTAAGTAAGTGGATTTCTGAGGAGCTTAAGGATTTCATGAAAAAGAAAGGATGACTCAGGGGGTAGAATCAAGAGCCGGGGGTGGGGTTAGGCAACAAACATAGTCATTTCTGGGCAGGAGCAGGACTAAGTTCTAATCAAGGACCTCTGAGTATCAGAATCATCATGAGCTAATGACTCCTTTAAGAAGCCTAGGGGTCACAACAACAAGATAAAGGTAAATAATCCAATAGAAAAATGGGCACAGGATATGAACAGACACTTCACTGAAGAAGACATTCAGATGGCTAACAAGCACATGAAGAAATGTTCAAAATCCCTAGCTATATGAGAGATGCAAATTAAAACAACTATGAGATACCATCTCACCCCAGTCAGAATAGCAAAATTTAACAGAAGAGTAAGCAACAAATGCTGGCGAGGTTGTGGAGAAACTGGAACCCTTATTCACTGTTGGTGGGAGCGTAAAATGGTGCAACCACTGTGGAAGGCAGTATGGCACTTTCTCAAAAAGTTGCAAACAGAAATACCATTAGACCGAGCAATTCCACTACTGGGAATATACCCCAAAGAGACCATAACTGACATCCAAACAGATATATGCACACCCATGTTTGTTGCAGCTTTGTTCACAATAGCAAAGAGTCGGAAACAACCTAAATGCCCATCAACAAACGAATGGACAGAGAAGCTGTGCTATATTCACACAATGGAATACTACGCTGCATTGAAAATGAGGAACTCATGCAATATTATTCAAAATGAGTGACCCTGGAGGACATTATGCTGAGTGAGGTATCTCAGTCACAAAAGGACAAATACTACATGGTGTCACTGTTGTAAAACAGGACTGACCTCAGGGTTGGGAGGAGACTGAGAAAGATGGGTTCAATAATGCATTGAAACAGATGAGGGAGAAAACTGTTTGAAAGAGATATGTGATTAGGTATTTTTGTCATGACAGGAGTCTAGACCAAGGTTACATGGTGGAGTGGACCTAGGGGAGGGTTTGTGAAACAATTTTTCTTAGGGGGGAGGGTTGGGAGGGGAGAAAAGTGCAACAATGAATAAATGGAAATTCATAGTCATTGTAAATTTTTACTGAAATTAACAACTTTTTTTTTTTAAAAAAAGAAGCCTAGCGGTAAAGTAGTTGAGCACTCAGCTGTTGACTGAAAGGTCAGTGGTTTAAATTCAGCAGCTTCACATAAAAGATGTGAGTCTGCTTCCATAAAGACTGCTGTTCGTGGTGGTGTTATATGCCTTCAAATCAACTTTGACTCATAGTGACCCTATGAACAGCAACTCTGAATCTTGCCTATCCTGAGCCAACCTCACATTCTCTGACTCATATACTAGGAATCCTTCTAGGAAGAAGGATCAGCAGTCCACTTCTCAAATAAAAGGCCTTGCAAAAACTCTAAAGATCATAGCCTTTAAAAACCCTATCAATATAGTACATTCACACAATGGAATACTACATAGCACACAGGAGCAATGAAATTTGGAAGGGACTGAGATTATGCTGAGTGAACTAACTCAGTCCCACAGGACAAACAGTGTACAAAACGATTATTGTTGAATGAGTATAACGATCCAAGGGGGGGGTGGGGGAGCGTGGAAGCAGAGCGATGAGGATGGGGCTGGGGGAATATGTATCATGGAGTTGTACAATTTGATGGGGGTGAGGGAAATTGGAAGAATCTGTTCTCAAATATAGTGTATTCTAATTTTATAAATAAAAGTAGTATTTAAAAAAACAACAATGACAAAAAACTATCAAACAGATCAGTAGTGTCTTAGAGAACCATTATAAGTCAGAATTAACTTAAAGGCAACCAACAAGTTTTCTTTCTTAATGACATCTTTGTGACTTCCACTGTTATCCATGTCTATGCTGCCACAGTGAAAAGGGAGTGGTGAGGGGAAGAAACTGAAGAACAAATTCAAACCTCAAAGGGGAGCTCTGGTGGCCTAGTGGCAAGGAGCTGCACTACAATCCCAGAGGCGCACAGTTTGAATCCACCAGATGCTCTGCCGTGGAAGGAGGGACAATCTCCTCCTGTACCAGTCAGATCTGATTTGACGGTACACACAAATAATAATAAAAATAAAAAATTTTTTAAAAAAATAAAATTCAAACCTCAAGTTGCTATAATCAAGGATGCTTTAGGCAGAATATTAAAGGATCCAGGAAGTATTAAAAGAAGATGGAAAGAATATACTGAGTCATTGTATCAGAAAGAACTGGCAGACACATAAGAATTTAATAAATAACATATGAGCAAGAGCCTATGATGATGAAAGAAGTTCAAGCTGCTTTGAAGGAAATAGCAAAAAATAAGGCCCCAGGAATAGATGGTATATCAAGTGACGTATTTCAGCTAATGGATGCTGCCCTGGATGTGCTCACCAAGTTGTGCCAAGAAATTCGGAGAACCACCTGGCCAACTGATTGGAAGAGATCTATATTTGTTCCCATCTCAAAGAAGGGTCACCCAAGCAAGACTCTATTGAAAATCATCTAAAACCGACTGAGACAGCACATCAGTAAAAAACTGCCAGAAGTTCAGGCTGGGTTTAGAAGGGTTTGTGGTACTAGGGAGATTTTGTTAGATGGATCTTAGCTGAAAGCAGGGAATATCAAAAGAATGTCTATCTGTGTTTCATTGATTATGCAAAGGCGTTTGACTGTGTGGATCATAACAAACTATGGTTGACTCTGAGAAGAATGGGAATCCCAGAACACTTGATCGTGCTAATGAGAAACCTATACTTGGACCAGGAGGCAGTCGTCAGAACAGAGCAAGGAAACACTGCATGGTTCAAAACTGGGATGGGAGTATGCC